CGCGACTCAGGTGGGCGCATCCAAAGAACAGCAACCGGTCTACCAGGGCAGGCTCGAAGGCTTCTCCGCTTCATGTTGCTATGATTCTTTTCCAATTTCCTTTGAGCTCAGCGACATGAAGAGAGGCATCATCCGTGACAGGCTCAGTTCAGTTCTGTCCTGGGGACACAGGAGAGTGACTGGTCTTTAACAATGGCGCTCAACCCCAAGGGTGACCACGGGGTCACTCTTTTAGTAGTGTTAGAAGACCAATCGATTTGCTCCTTAGGTCCAGACTGGATACTTCAGTTACTTGAACGATGGGATCAGTGACAAAGTCAATTTACAAAATTCGCTGCACAATAGCACTGCATGGATTCCCCTTTTTCTTTCTTTTCTTCCTTTTTAAACACGGTCCTGGGTGGGATAGCTGTGATGCAGGGGGCCTGCCATCCGAAACACCTAAGTGACAACATCCTACTCAGCAAATTAGGCTCTGGGTGGGGTTAGCTTTGCGGTTTTGCATGGGGAAGGCTGTCACGATCCCATGCACGTGGGTGGTGGCATTCCAGGTGCCTGACCCAATGGCTCAGCACACTGGGGACACATCCATCCTGGTGCAACCCAAGTGGACCGTGGCCGTGTTCAAGGACCGAAGGTTCCTTTGAATGAGCGACTGTCTTCTTCCTCCATTCAAGAGACCTCATCTGCCTTATCCACCTTTCTATCAGTTTGGGCACCAATGACTCCCGGCTCCCCATACAGTGGTTTTCATCAATGAATCCATTTCCAGGTCAGTATCTACATTCAAGAATGGAAAATGTGGGCTGGGGATGTGGCTCAAGCGGTAGCGTGCTCGCCTGGCATTCGCGAAGCGCTGGGTTCGATCCTCAGCACCACATACAAAATAAAGATGTTGTGTCCACCAAAAGCTAAAAAATAAATATTTAAATATTGTAAAATTCTTAAAAAAAAAGAATGGAAAATGTAAGGATCATCAGAATAGTCAGTGGATTTAAAACCATATCCTGCAGCACTGTTCACAATAGCGAAGGTGTGGAATCAACCTTGGAGTCCACCAGTGAATGATGGGTAAAGACAATGTGGTACATATAGACACAGTGGAATAGTATTCAGCTATAAACAGGAATAAAACTCTTATGCTAAGCAAAATAAAGCAGACACAGAAAGATAAATACTGCATGTTCCCTCTCATTGTGGAAGCTAGGAAAAAACTTGATCTGAATGTAGAATAGTGATTCTCTTAGGAGCTGGAAGGGCAGTAGCAGAGGGGGTTAGGGGGGCAGACTGGATCACAGGTGCTAAAACACAGATCCAATGACCAAGTCCTAGTGTTCCTCAGCACAGTCAGGTGATAATAGTTGACAATAACCTGTTATATATTTCATGGAGACCTAGGAGAGAGCAGTTCCAAGGCCCCAAAGGTTAATGTTAAGGATGAGGAAAAGATGATTACCCTGATTTGATGACAGCATGCTGAATGCGTGTGTTGAAAGATCATATGCTCAATTATTATGCATTAATAAAAGATAGAATTAAATAAAAATATAAACCAAATTGTCCCTGCTTGGCCCCACCCCTGTAGATTTTGATGGAATGAAGTTGTGGTAGACATCTGGGTTTTAAAACGCTCCCCAGATATGGCTCACATGTCCATCCATAGGAGATTGGATACACAAAGTGTGGTTTATTCATAAATGGAAAGCTGGAAACTCAACATTTAAAAATAAACACTGTCAATACATGCAGCAATATAGACGGACCTCCTGATATCAAGTGAAAAAAAGCTGCTCTCCCAGAATACACACAGTCCAATTCCACTCATATGACGTTCAGAACAGGCAAAAGGGTTAGGCATGGTGGCGCGTGCCTGTGATCCCAGCAGCTTGGGAGGCTGAGGCAGGAGGACTGTTGAGTTCAAAGCCAGCCTCAGCAACTCAGTGAGGCCCTAAGCAACCCAGTGAGACCCTGTCTCTAATAAAATATAAAAAAAGGGCTGGGGATGTGGCTCGGTGGTTAAGTGCTCCTGGGTTCAATTCCTGGTATATATATAAAAAAAAGCAAAACTATTTACATAGTGTGGGAAATAAAAATTATGATTTCTGCTAGATGGGGGAAGTCAAATCGATGGCCAAAGGACAAGGGCACTTTCTGAGAGTGATGGAAATGCCCTGTGCCCTGTTTTAGGTGATGGTCTACGCAGATGCAAACAATTTCAGAACTCAACAACCTTAAGTGGTGTGCCGTCCTCAGCCCTTCATCACTGAGACCAAACCTCACAAGAAGGACTGCGAGGAGCAAATGTTTGGGTGGGACTCAAAAGAGTTCCAGAAGTTTCATCCACAGATGGCCAGCTCTCCCGGGCCCAAGCTGGGCTGCAGTGGAGGAAAGCGCTCAGCTCAAGTGGGTCAGGAAGCAGAGGAAGGGGCCAAAGGACAGATGCACCTTCCAAGGCACACCCCGTCACCCACCTGCAGCCATACCCCACCTGCTCACAGTTAGCACCTGGTCAGTCCCTTCAGACCCGGGTGGACCCATCAGGTCACAGCTCTCACAATCCAATCATTTTACCTCCGAATATTCCTGCATTAATAGAAGCTCTTGGGGACACACCTCAGATCCAACCCATAACGTGCCCTTTATTGCATATAATTTAAACCTTATTTATTATTATTATTATTATTATTTCACTAGGGATTGAACCCAGGTGCGTTTAACCACTGAGCTGCATCCCCAGCCCTTTTAAAAATTTTATTTAGAGTCAGGGTCTTAATGAGTTGCTCAGGGCTTTGCTAAAGTTGCTGAGGCTGGCTTTGAACTTGTGATCCTCCTGCCTCAGCCTCCTGAGCATGTGTCACCAGGCCCGGCTCCTGACTTTCATACTTCATTTAAATAAAACAACCTAACTTCCCCATCAATCCCTGAATCAGAATCCTGCCCCTGTGCCAAATTCAGGAATGACTGCTGCCACTCACAGGAGGGCCAGCCTGCCCAGCCCTGCCCAGCAGTGGCCTGCAGAAACAGATCATTTCCTCATTCTCTGCCTCAGAGCACACAGCTCCCTATTTTCATTTGTCTTCTGGGTCTTTCCTACCCTTCCTTTGTCTTTTGGGTCATAAAACCCCAGGGAACTCAGCCTACAACAGTCAGCTCACTGACAAATCCAGAGGTCTCCATATCAGCAGTCACAGCCAGGTTCCTAGAAAGAGTACCCTCCCTTCTAGGCCACCTTAAAGGGACTTCATCATTAATGAGCACCTACTGTGTGCCAGACGGTGTTGACTCTTTTAGCAAGACTCTTTTGCTTTTTTTTTTTCTTTTCAAAATAACCCTGGGAAATAGGTATTTTTACTGACCCCTCCCATTTTCCAGATCAGCAGTCCTTAAGGGAAGATAAATAAAGGCCTAAAGGTGATGTTTTGAAGAATTGCTATAACAAAACATTATAACCCGGGCGGCTTAGAAACCACAGAAGTTTATTTTTCACAATTCTGGAGGCTGGGAACCCAAGATCTGGGCAAAACAGACTCAGTGTTTGGTGGGGCTGGGTTCTGGGTCAGGGATGGCACCTTCTGTCTGAAAGGGAAGGGGTTAGCTAGCTTTCTGGAATCTCTTTTCTAGGAGCCCTTGTCATTCTGCGCTCACGACTTAATCACCCCATGAAGCCCCCGACTCCCAATCTGGTCCCGTAAGGGTTAGGATTTTAACATATGAATGGGCGGCACAAACCTTCGGACCTTAGCAGGTGACATCAGGCTGGTAAGTAAGTGGAGGGTGTAGCTTTGGACAACGAATTTAAGACCCCCTAAGATCTAAGACCGCTTTCCTTCCAGGGCCTGGGGGCGGGGGGAGAGAGGCAGAGGCGGCGTTGGAGGGGCAGGTGCCGGCAGAAGGGGCTCCTCTCCTCACTGCCGGTTCCATGCCAGGTGGCCAGAACCGAGGCCAACCAGCCCACACACCAGTTAGTCCCAGGTTTCCTGGCTCGGCCTTCTGGTGGTTGAGAAGTGGCACCTCAGGGCGACTTTTGTTAGGTGCAACTTAGAAAGCAAGGAGGGGACGGGGATGTAGGTGTCGTAGCCCCTAGGCTTCTGGCTCCCTGACACCCGAGGAGTGGGCTCCCGGACGGGGGCGGTGAGGCACAGGCGGAGGCGCCGAGCAGCCTCCCTGTGCGGGTGTGTGCGTGTCGGCGCGGCTGTGCCGGCGGGGGGACCGCTGTTCCCCGCGAGGCGCTGGGGGAGGAGGAAGCGGCAGCGGAGACCTGAATAATTGATTCTTCAGCGGCACCAGACGCCCGGGAGCGGGCGGAGAGCGTGGATCCAGCACTAGGGACCGCCGCGCGCGCCACCGCAGGCGCCCCCGTCACCAGCCAGACACCTATCTCGGCCTGGTTCGCCGCCGTGCGCTCCGGGAGCGGGTGGCCGCGCTCCGCGCCGCCGCCGAGGGACTGCGGGGTCCGCCTCGGCCCGCCTCCGGGGAGGACGGCTGCGGGCGGAAGGCGCTCTCGCCCCGCGGAGCTCCAAGCGTCTCGGGCTTGCGCGGGGGCTGCTGCGCTGGCTGGCCAAGAACAAGTCCCTAAGTTGGCGTGCTGGGCGCCCCTGCCTTCCTCTTCCTCTTCCTCGGAGGCGACCGCGGCAGAAGCAAGCCCCAGGAACCTGGCTTGGCCCGAGCTGTGAACCAGGGTGGCCAGGCGCTCTGGACTCCCGCGGAGGAGCGGGGAACCGAACGCCCAGAGCCGAGCTGGCCCCGCAGCCCAGGGCCCCGAGGGAGCAGCCTTCCCCCGCCCGCGCCTCTCTCGGCCGGGGACCGCGGGGATCCCCGGCCACACGCGCGCGCGCGCTCCCACATCCACTCTCGCACACACTCGCCTCACACACACCCGCCTGGAGCTGGGCTGCGGACAGGGTGCTCCGGCGCGCTCCGAGGACCAGGCGGCTGCCGTCCGGAGCGGGGCAGGAAGCGAGCTGGGGCTCTTGGAGCGGGCTCCGAGGGCTTAGCCGGAGCATGGGGCCGGGTGAGCGCTGAGAGTCACGGCCGCAGCCATCAGCCCTGGAGATGACCAGGAGCGGCCACTGCTGAGAACTATGTGGAGAGAGGCTGCGGTGAGTGCTGGCGCGGGACGCGGAGCCTCGGAGGCCCCCTGGGGAAGGGGGTTGGTGGAAGGGCTGGAGAGGAGGGGGCGGCAGGACCGCAAGAGGGTCGCTACGTGGGAGTGATCGCACCTCCCTCGGGGATCCGGGACCGCGGGTGCCCGCGTCCTTCCCTCCCCCTCTCCTCCTGCCAGCTCGTCGCAAACTCCGCCAGCGCCCCCTCCTTCCCTCCTCTTTCTCTCCCTACCCCCTTCGCTCAGCAGCTCCCGGTCGCACAACTCCCAGCAGCCGGCTCCGGGGAGGTGGTAGGGGGCGAGAGGGTGGAGGTACCCAGTTAGCTTCCCGTGGGTGGCCAACCTGGGGCTCCCATTCTGCCGAGCGCCCCTGAGTGGAGCTACAGTTATCAGCCACAGGGACCGAGGATCCGCACTGAGGGCGTCTTGGGCACTGAGCTTCAGCTTCCCCTCTCTGGTCGAGCCCCCAGGGCGCACAGGGGGGCAGTGAGCATTGCAGATGCAGCTTTCCCCTCAACCCCCCTTCCCCGGGCCGGGGGCTGACCCTGCTTCTCCATCTCTCCTCCGCCCCGGTAGAGCCCTGCTGCAGAGCCTCCGGCTGGGATAGCCGCCCCCCGTGGGGGCGATGCGGACAGCGCGGGACAGCCAGGGGAGCGCGCGGGGGCCGCAGCATGCGGGAACCCGCTAAACCCGGTGGCTGCTGAGGCGGCCGAGATGCTCGTGCGCGCAGCGCGCCCCACTGCATCCTCGACCTTCTCCGGCTACAGGTACGTCCCAGCGGGAGATATGGGTTCGGTGGGCCGGGAGGAAAGAGGCTCGATTGGAGGGAGAGCGGGAGAGGGATCAGGAGAGAGGGAGAAGAGAAAGCGGGAGAGGGAGCCCAGTAGTGAGGCGCGAGAGGAGCACCAGGGGGCGCTGCGGCCCCGCACTCCGCGGTGCTCACCCAAAGAATGCCAAGGCCGGTGCGAGTTCGCCCCAAGTTCCCCCGGCTCCAACAGTGGCTGGCCAGAGGGGCGCGCGCCTGCACACGCGTGCACGATAGTGCTGGTATTAACAGGCAAGCGCGGCTCTACTCTTGTCGCGACACATGCGTGGGCACCGCCTGAGGACGTGTGGGGATTCCTGCCGGCCGTGGGCATCTCTACGGCGGCCTGCGGATGTGCGCAGAAAAGCGCGCGTGGTCTGTGAGCGTGTGCAGCCCACTGCCCACGTGCATCTAAGATTTGGCACTAGGGTTCGCAGTGGAAAGGCCGGGGAGGGGCTGTACCGTCCTCGTCTGTCTGAGAGCTTCTTGGGAGCCTACCTTTCCCCCCACGCACGTTCTTTGCCAGCTCCTACGCGCTGGCCCGCGGGGGGACGCGCTTACTCTCCGGAATTCTGCATTGCACATGGCGCGCGTGAGAGAGGGTGTTTGTGTGCGCGCTTGTGTGCACGCGAGTGTGTAGGGGGCGGGTCCTGGGACGCTGGCAATTGAGTGAAAGCCGCTCCGTGGCCCCTGGGCTCAAGGGGGGGGCAGGCCCCAAGTTCCCCCAGGCTCCACAGAGCCTGGACTCAAAAGCGAGCATCCTGGCTTCCAAGCACTTGGGGTGAATCCTGTAGGAGAGAAGCTGGTCTGCAGCGGTGCTAGCGCCCCGGGTGGGCTCGAAGGAGGTGGGGCCAGTCAACTAGCTCAGGGCTCAGGGAGGCGAGGAGAGCGGGGCCGCCTCCGCGCGCCGGCTCTGAACTGTAGTTCGCTCCGCGTGAGCAGGGGGCGGGGTCGGTAACTTGGTCTGCGCTACCCCGGGGGGTAGACGGTGGAGAGAGGATTTGCCCGGTGCATCCACCGGCTGGGCGGGGTCCATGGCTGCCTGGGCCCTCGGGGGCTGCAGACTGCAGCCAACTTGGGGAGCGTGGTGGGGGATGTGCTCAGAGCCCAGGATGGGGAAACGACTGGAGACGGGGGAGGAGAAGGAGGCGGGATTCGAGAATGGGCTTGGGGACAGGGGTGGAGAATCGGCTCGGCCCGGAGCTGTAGGTCGGGTGGTAGATGGGTCGAGAGGTCTGCCTGGCGTCGGGGACCGGGGATGGAGCGAGTGACCACAGCGGCTCGTGCTGGGCTTGGGTTCCGCGCCCGGCGCCGCTGGGCAGTCCCTTTCATCCGGGCCCCTGGCTCACCGCCGCCCTGCCTCTCGCTCTCCACCTTGCAGGGACCGTAAGTGGCGACTATGGGCAGACTGGGCTATTGGACCTTGCTGGTGCTGCCGGCCCTTCTGGTCTGGCGCGGTCCGGCGCAGGGCGCGGCGGCGGAGAAGGGTCCCCCAGCGCTGAACATCGCGGTGCTGCTGGGTCACAGCCACGACGTGACAGAGCGCCAACTTCGAAACCTGTGGGGCCCCGAGCAGGCAGCGGGGCTGCCCCTGGACGTGAACGTGGTGGCCTTGCTGATGAACCGCACCGACCCCAAGAGCCTCATCACGCACGTGTGCGACCTCATGTCCGGGGCACGAATCCACGGCCTGGTGTTTGGGGACGACACCGACCAAGAGGCTGTGGCCCAGATGCTGGATTTTATCTCCTCACAGACTTTCATCCCCATCCTGGGCATCCACGGGGGAGCATCTATGATCATGGCTGACAAGGTAAGACCGGGAGGAGATGGGCGGCCGGGACCCGGAGGGCGCCCGCCATCTGTGGCAGCCACGCAGGTCCTCGGGCTCCCCGGGCCTGTCCCCCAGCAATCCGAAGGCGGGAGGAGTCTTGACCTCTGGCCCCACTGGGAAATGAGTGGAAATGGCTTTAGCCTTGGTTCTGAGAGTGAGGTCCTTGGGGGCACCGAGGGTGCCACGGAGAAAGTGGAAAATGCGGAAGTGGGAGGAGGAATGGAGGTGGAAATGCTCAGAGGTTGCAAGTAGCGCGCAGAGGGAGCCCGGAGCACTGGAGCAGAACGGCTCAGGTTCCTCTAATATTGACTTTACCTGATGGCGTGGGAAAGTGTCCCCCTTTTCCTTCTTGTGACAAGTGACAAAAATCACTTGAAAGACATAATAAAGGTGGGTCTATTGTGGTGAGATTTTAGGTAAAATACAAAAGGACAGAAAATATCCTGCTTCTCGGGGCCCTGGGTGATGAACTCTAGGGGCCGGCAGTCTGAGAAGCCTTAGGCTAGAGGGGCCTGGAGGGACCCTCCTCTCCCTATGGGCTTGAGTGGGAGAAGTGACTCCAGGCCCAGGGCAGGGGCCCTGGCCTTTGCCGGACATGACCCTTGTGTAGGGATGGTCCTCGGGGCAGGGGCTCTGAGACCCTCACAGGAGTAATTGGCACCCAGTAATGGATCTTGGTCTTGAAATGGAAGAGTTTCAAGACGAAAGAGAGTGCGCCCAAATCTCTTGGCTTAGGGGGACAGCGAAGGTCCTTTTGCGGGCAGCTCGGGAGGGAGCACTGGTTGGAGAGGGGAGAGGGGTTTGAAGGTTTGCGTGAGATGTTGTGAGGGCCTGATGGGGGATTTGCTGAATTGGAGGGAGAGGGGAAGGTTGGAAGGGAGAAGGAAAACGGAAGAATGAGAGAAGGAAGGACCGAGGTGTGGTGCACTCTGACTCCATGCAGTCGGTCCGGAAGGGGAGGAAGGGGTGTGCTGGTCCCCAGCCCCTAGACCTTCATGGAGAGGTTCCTCCGATGGCAGGCGACATCCTAGTCGGCACGCAGACATTTGTCTCTTTCCCTTTGACGTTCTCAGAGCACTTTTATTTCCACCAAATCCGATTCTGGCTCTGCTCAGCACTTCCCACCGGCCCCTCTGGGAATTGTATTAATTCTTTCAGGCCTCCTGGGCTGCAACACATTCCGCTGAAGTGCGCCAGGGATGTGACATCTCATTAAACATTCTTTTTAAATGGTTTGCAGGCTAGCGGCTCCCTGCGTGTGGGCGAATGTCCTCCCAGCTACCTCTCAGTGTTGGGTGCTCCTTTCTTGGATGAAAGAAGTGGCCGTGCTCTGCCCCTAGTGCATGGGCCATTTCAGAAGTGGAAAGGGCCTGGGGCCTTACCAGAGTCTCCTCTAACTTTCCGATGGAGTTTAGAGACTCCGCTAGACGGCATCGTGGGGGATGGGACTAGATAGCTGGTTTTCTGGTCTCAAGCTGCCATCTTACATCTCACCAAGTCAAGCCCGTCCTGTCCTTTGGCCGTTCCCATTTTTCAGGAAGCCCGGAAGCAAGCCTCATTGCTTGGGAGGTGCTGAGCGACGAGTGGTGCGTGGTGCAGCGGCTTGAGGGCTTGTACGCAGGAAGGACCGGCCAGGAGGGAGAACAGCGGTGTCCAGCAGGGGCCGGGGCAGTGCTTCTAAATATTACCATGGGGTCTAAATATCACCACGATCCCACCTCCTGTGATCCCACCTCCCCATCAACCATATTGAAGGGGAAATTTCTAGAACCAAGGGGGCCCCCACACAGCCTAGCGGAAAACTCTGATTTGAGGAGAATCCGGGAAGGTGGCTTGGGTCTGGTAGTCCTGAGTGTCTTTCCAGTTGTCTGTCTTCTAAGACTGATTGACAGGTGGGTGTGCAGCCTCTCCCCTGACTTACCCACCTACCTGTAGGCAGAAAACCAGAAACGGGGTGTGTTCATGGACGAGCGTCCCCTTGCTAAGCAATGACCCTGCCCACCCGTGAAACTTCACCCAGTGAATGTCAGGCTCTGACCGCCTAGACCAGCCCCTGCCTTCCCTGGAAGGGACCATGACAAAGCGAGTTTTGAGACATCAGTGGATGTGGGTGGCAGCAGGTGGTCCTAGGGGACCACCCCCCTCCCCGCCTATGAAGATGCGGGTGGAAGTATGAATCGGGAAAAGGCAGAGGCAGGAAAGAAAGGTCATTTCCAGGGAAGGCGGGATTTTAGAGAGGTTGAGGAGGGATGGACAGGAGGGGAGAGAAAGAATCCATCGGCTCAAAAATGGCGGAGGAGGTTGGAAACCCCCCACTGTGGTTGGGTTTTCAGCGTCGTCTGGGGGAGGCTGCCCTGCCTGTGATTCTGGTGGAACTGTTGGGGATGAGGCCAGATGGTTGGGAGTCAAGAAGTCAGTGGGGACAGTGTTGGGGCAGATGCTGGGTCCCATTTGTGGGATGGGCAGGTGACGTTTGAAAGGGCGATATTTTGAGAAACCTGGATGTGTTTAAAAAGGAAAGAAATCATCTGAGATGGGAAGAGCCTCTCCTTCCATTAGTAACACATCTAGTTGGCACGTGCCTTTGCCACCTGTTCCCTTAGAGCTGAGTGTCGTGTGGTGTTTATTTGGCTCCAAAGGCAGCCTGGGACGTGTCCTAAAACTCTGCCTTTCTTGGGCACGCCGATGGCGTTATGACCCCAAAGCTTCAACCTCTCCAAATCTGCAGGGCACCTGTGTCTTCCCCTATGATGACGATGACTTGGTAAATTGTCCAGAACACATCTTATCATTTTCACTTCTCCATTGGCAGTGTAGTAGTGCCCCATGGGTAAGGATGGCTGTTAATGTATCAGTTAAAACACTCACACTCACACACACACACACACACACACTTTCTTCTTTCCCTCAGCTTACACGAGGAAAAGAACAAAGCCTTATCATAATTGAAACGTTGACTGGCAGATTTTGTGGTGTTAACCTAATTTACAGCGGGGGTGTTAATTTTCCCCATATCAGTTGGTGGTCCTGACGTATAATTAAATCAGAGGTGAAAATAGTGCTTGGTGTTCTAGTCTTCTCTTGGTTTGGTGATTTTGGCTCTGCCTGGGGGACAGACACTCTGGCTGCAGGAATGGTCCCCCAGCAAGTCCAGTGAATGGCTGGACCTTGGTTTTCCCGCTCCGTGTCCTGGGACTCGTCAAGACACAGACTTTAGCCATCGTCCGAGGCTGTGGCTGCTTGGGTTTTGCTTTCTGTCTCCTCGGCTAAAGGACTGAGTCCATCGAGGGAAGGTTAAAAAAACACGTGTGTGTGTGTGTATCTGTGTATTTGAAATCACAAGTGCTCCTCTTCCACGGTCACTTTATAAAACGGTGTCTTTTCATTGCGGAGCACTTAGAAACGACATTAAAGTTTAAAGAAGAGATTAAAATTTTGCTCCCAATAGTGTCACCAGGAAAAGGTTCTGCGCCATTCTGCTGTATCTCCTTCTAGGCTCTGTTGGTTGATTACGTTACAGATTTGGGGTCACACCGCTGTGTGGGGTTTGCTTGTTGTACTTTGCATTCTGTGCCTTCTCTTAGAAAATTCAGGTATTTCTTTGATTCTGGAAAAATCTCAGCCCGCTGTTGAAGTTTCCTTTCTGCCATGTCTCTGTTCTCTCCTTCTGGGTCCACGCACACTGTGGTTCCTTGACCGCGTCTCCTGTTTTTTCTGGGTTCTCTCTTGGTGCTTTGGGGAGATTTCCCGTTAACTACCTCGGTTGATGTGTGGCTGGTCTATTATTTTGCCTCTCTGAGTTTTTAACTTCCACAATGATCGGCTGTATTCCCCGGGTGCCTAACTGGTCCCTTCTCCCTAACTTTCTCTGAGCAGCTCTCCCCATGTTGGGACCCCCTCCTCGGCCCCCGGGGTCCTTCTTGTCACACACTCTTTCTCTCATCGCCCAGCGTCTTCGTTTCTTCAGTCACAAACCCTCCCGAGTGCAGAGCTGTGGATCCGAGGTCTCCTGGGTCCTCTAGGTTTTGTTTGAGCTGATTTTCAGGGTGACTTTAGGGTTCCCTCTGTCCCTTACCTCTAACGGTGAGGACTTCCCTCAGGGCTGTGTCAGCCACTCGGCCCACAGCCTTCTCCTGCTGGACGGAGCTGGTGCAGGCCTGCGTCCTCCCCACGGGGGACTTGGTTTTAGTTCCTTGACTCAGACAGGGGTCTCCTCTTGGGCTGTGACTCTTGGTGGTGGGACCTATGTTCCAGCCCCAGTCGTAGCCAGCAGCACAATTCTGCTGTCTGTCCCCTTTCCCCAGGGGGTGTTGAGACCTGGGCTCCCATGGCTCACGTGGCACCATTCCCCTGAGGATCATGTGGCTTTGATTCCTACTTGAAGTTGTAGAGTCCCTCCCTCCTCCCCCTCTCCCTCCCTCCTTCTCTCTCTCTCTCTCTCTCTGAAGATGGAACCCAGGGCCTTGTGATAGTAAGTGGACACATGCTCTACCACCGAGCTGCCCGCTCCCCACCGCCCCAGTCTTGACTCTTGTCTTTTAATTTACGCATTTTTGGGGAAGTCCTCTGTAGTTTTGATCTGTGACTTCCTTTTTTCATTTCCAAGCAATACTGTGTAAATTTTAAAATAACTACAGATCTCTGTAGAAATTCTACGTCTTAGAGACAGAAGAGGGAATCCACCGCGTGCGTTCACTCTGATTTTGAGACACTTTCATTTCCCAGCCTGTTTTTCTGCTCTTTAAAACTTGATCAGATATTTTTGGAACTTTCCCTCATTAAATAGGCTTCTCCAACTTGGTTTTTCAATGGCTGCGGGTGTCCTGTTCACACCACCACTGTTTAAACCATCCCTCCGCTTCCCCACCTCTGGTTCCCTCATTTCGGGTCCAGACGTGAGTCCTTTTGGCACTGTGTGCTGGTCTGCCCTCTGCATCTGCTGCTTGGTAAATGTTTGTTGACTGGATGAATCAAGCCGT